TCTCCCTGTCTGTAGCATGTAGACTAAATATAACCATGATTCATGTATTAAACGCGCATCCATTTAATTTACTCCTGGGGTAAACAGAGACATAAAACTTCTCGTACCTCCAGGCAGTCTTGACTTCGGCATTGAACTTTGTCGGGGGCTTTGTTCCCTTTTTATTTGAACAATCTTTGGGCATGTAATTATGAGGTTGCCGACTGGTGTGTATAGTGAAAAAAAAAGTTTTCAGATTAGTGAATGTCTTCTCCATTTAAAGAAAAACACTCCCCTTCTCCCAGAGTTCTCGATAAAAACGGCATCCCTATTGGATCACTAAATTATTTAAAAAAAAAAAATTAAAGATATATATTAGATAAAATACGCTAACAATAAAACACTGTGTTCTAAGGTAATTATCCTTTATTACCAGAATATTATTTTAATACTGCTAATGATATTACTGAAGCATTTAAAACCATGTTTTCCCAGCAGCAACTGCTCACGAGAAGAATCCACTTCAGTAACTGAGTTTGTGTGTGTGTTGGAGTGGTTACGTGAGGGCTTTTGCCTTTTGCTCAGTTCTGTTTTTCCACCTTTCTAAGTTACCTGTGCCCTAACACATACTTGTACCATCAGATAAAACAATGCTTGTAAATGTGATGGAATTTAAGAGGCGTTTTGTGTGTGTGTGTGTGTGTGTGTGTGTGTGTGTGTGTGTGTTAGGCTGTTGGCTCGTTTGTGAGATGTGGCCTCTGCGTAGTTCAGGCCAGAGAGCCTCTTGCCTCAGCCTCTCAAGTGTTGTGATAACTGGTGTGCATCACCATGCCCAGCTTGGGAAACCGAGGCAGGCTCTTCCTCAGGTCCATGCAGCCATCACCAGCAGGCTTTGCTCTCAGGCTCTCAGCTTCCTCGTGAACATGTGAACATGGTGACGGCCCTGTTCATTCTGTTTATTTACCCTCAATACTTTTGGGCGAGACTCGGAGGTAAAGATAAAATACTGCACTGTTGATGGCGTTCCGCACCTCCCCGGGCTTCATGCTAGGACTGAGATTGCTGTGGTAAAGTAAGACCAGAAGAGAACACAGAACACCTGCTCATCACCATGCATGTTAGCCCTTGGGGTCAGAAGGCTGACATATTATTTAAAATTGTGATACTTAGTTTTTAGTGCTTTTAAAAAAAATTCTGGCCGGGCGGCAGTGTCGTCACACGCCTTTAATCCCAGCACTCGGGAGGCAGAGGCAGGCGGATCTCTGTGAGTTCGAGGCCAGCCTGGTCTACAGAGGGAGATCCAGGACAGGCTCCACAACTACACAGAGAAACCCTGTCTCAAAAAACAAAAAAAAAAAACAAAAAAAAAAACCAAAAAAATTTCTGGAAACTTCTATGCATTACTTCCTGAAGATCAGAAGTTAAAAAGAAAAAAAAGGTAGCAAGTAGCATGCGTACGTGGTTGACCTGTCCCACACTATCCTGTACAGCAACCTTAACAGTGACAGCCGGGCGGTGGTGACGCACACCTTTATTCCCGGCACTCGGGAGGCACAGGCAGGTTCTGTGAGTGTGAGCCCAGCCTGCTCTACAGAGTGAGTTCCAGGACAGACTCCAAAACTACTTAGAGAAACCCTGTCTCGAAAAACAAAACAAAACACGGTGACTGGAAAGACATCCAGAGGTTAAGAGTGTGTATTGCTCTTGACAGGACCTGAGCTTGGTTCTCAGCACCCACATCAGCAATTCACAACAGCCTAGGACTATAACTCTAGGGGATCCAACACCTTTTTCTGGCCATGAGCACTGTCCACATGTACACATAACCAGACACAAACACAAATACACATGTAATTAGCAATAAAATCTTTAGGGGCTGGAGGGCTCAGTTGTTGAATGCACCTGGCTGCTCTTCCAGAAGACTTGGGTTCAATTTTCAGCACCCACACAGTAGTTCACAAACACCAGTAACTCCAGTACCAAGAGATCCAAAAACTCTCCTCTGGTCTCTTGCAGGTATTGCATGCATTGTGGTATCCATGTGGTACCCACAGTCATAAAGTTTAAAAATAAAGAAATGAAATATTTTTAAAAAGGGATGTAAAACTCACTTCCTCAGCCAAGGATGATAGAAAAGAACACAGGACAGGATAAGGAATGGGCTCTGGTAGGTTTCCACTCCTGGGGCTGAGGAAGCCATTGCTCCCTTTCCCTAGGCAGTCTGGTTGCTACACCTGGATCTGTGCCCGTATTGGCAGGGCCTGTCTGGCCCCAGAAGGCACTGAGTTTGGAACTCTATGATGGCAACGCAAGATCAAGTTATCTTTGAAAAAATTCAACCCTGCCCTCTCTTTTAGAGTAAGTACTGACTTTTCACAGGGACTCTGACCTTTGTAGTGGCTGTCAGTGGCCATGGTGGCTCCAGGTCTTTAATTAAGAAGTCATTAGTTGAATACACAGAATGGAAGCTTCGGTTGAAAAACCAGAATGAGGAGTGTGATAGCAACTCCAATGAGACAAGGCTTTGAAGTGGTTTTGCATCTCTAGGTGCATCGTGGAAAAGTGTCATCAATCTGCCTTGGTGAGTCACTAGAGATGCGATTTTTGTCTATGATGATGACAAAATAGATGGTCCTAATCCTCACCTTGGATTCATCACTAATGTGTGAAGGACTTTCATTCATGGATGCACTGGCTAGTGAAATGGGCACGAAGGTGCACTTTTGAATGGGAATGGGACTTGAGTCTGGTGTCCAGAGCTTAAAGCTGGGTACGAAAATAGAACTGGCAGGCCATATAGATTTGAAGAGTAGCACATGATTTCAGGAATATATAAACATAATCCAGGGGGAAATTCCCTTGGTCATGACTGCTCTGTTATGTGCTTGGTAACTGGAGATGGGATTTTTCAGCCCAAAGAAATAGTCTGAACTTCCTGGTAGGAGAACATCGACAGTTACCCAAACATAAACAAATCTAAATATCTCATTCTTTGAATCTATTACCCTTAGAAAACAAGTTACTTTACTACTTTTAAAATTAATTAATTAATTAGAGTGTATATGTGTGAGTGTGTGTGTGTGAGTGTGTGTGTGTGTGTGTGTGTGTGTGTGTGACTCTGTGTGTGTGTGTGTGTGTGTGTGTGTGTGTGTGTGTGTGTGAGTGCGGATTTGAGTTGCCACAGAGCTTGTGTAGAGGTCGGCGGACATCCTATTCTCTCTTCTTTCTGCTGCACAGCAGTGAACGCTAGGCTTAGGTAGTCTGCAGGCATCTGGCAGATTCTTCTGTTTCTGGCTCCCATTTCTCTGTTGGAGTTCTGGGGTTACAGGTGCATGCCATCCCTTCTAGCTCCTTATGTGGTTTGTAGGGAACTGTAAGCCATCTCCCAGGCTCCCAAACAAGTTACTTGAAAAACTTACTCTGGGCTGGTGAGTACTTGATACCAAATGCAGTGGTCTGACTAAGAATGGCCCCCACAGACTCATATTTGAATGCTTAGGGAGGGGCGTTAGGAAGTGCAGCCTTTTTGGAAATGTGCCACTAGGGGGGTGGGCTTTGAGGTTTCAAAAGCTCAAGCCAGGCCTAGTGGCTTACTATCTCTTCCTGGTGCCTGCTGATCCAGATGTAGACTCTCAGCTCCTTCTCCAGCACATGGCTGCCTGTGTGTGGCTCTTTTCTCTGCCATGATGATAATGGACTAAGTCTCTGAAACTGTAAACCAATCTCAACTAAATGCTTCCTTTATAAGAGTTCCGGTGGCCGTGGTGTCTCTTCACAGCAATAGAACACTGACTAAGACTCAAGGTAACAAGGAGAAAAGTCACAACTGAGTGAAAGGTTGGTGGAGATAGGGAGGTGTCTATCAGAGAGATGAGATACACAAGAGAAAGGATGGATTTGGATATTTGGGGGTGTTGCATGGCAGTCTTGGTGGACCTCTGGTGCAAATGCAAAGAATGGAGAAAAATTAGTTTGAACCAGGGTTAAAAGGTTTCACTGAGTGAGCAGGGCAGTGGAAAAGGGAGAGTCGGATTATATACAAGGAATGAGCCCTTTCCCCTGGGAAAGAGGAAGAAAGAACAGGGACTGGGTGATCAAGGCACATGTCATCCGAGTGTCAAGAAGGTGTGCTAGAACTGAGGAAGTGCTGTGTGGAGTTGTAGCTAATGGGTTGTGACCAGGTGTGATAAGGTGTGACTCTGGAACTGCGTTCAAGAAAAGTTAAAAAAAAAAAAAAAAGAGGAGGGCTGGGAGGGGTGGCACTCGCCTTTAATCTCAGCACTTGGTTGAGAGACAGAGGCAGGAGGATCTCTGCGAGTCCCAGGTCAGCCATAGCTACAAAGTGAGGCCCTGTCTTTAGGAAAGAAAGGAGAGAAAGAAAGGAAGATAGGCCAGGGTGTTGGGTGCATCCTTATGTAAATAATGGAATCACCAAGATGACAAGAAATGATAGAAATAAAATAATAAGGTAGATGCTGGAATAAAGCAGAATAAGCTGTCATGTGACTACAAAAAAGCCGAAGTCGATGGGACAGTCCCCAAAGCATGTGCAGGTAAAGTCCATGGGACAGTCCCCAAAGCATGTGCAGGTAAAGTCCATGGGACAGCCCCCAAAGCATGTGCAGGTAAAGTCCATGGGACAGCCCCCAAAGCATGTGCAGGTAAAGTCCATGGGACAGCCCCCAAAGCATGTGCAGGCATCGGGCAGCGTGTGGCAGGGCAGATGAATGCAGCACAGCACGAAGCACTAAACACACTGAGATTTTTAGTCAGGGGCGGTGACTCCAGCCTCTAATTCCAGTAGGTCAGGGGGTAGATCTCTGAGTTCAAAGCAGCTTGGGCTACATAGTGAGATCCTGGGTTTTTTTTGTTGTTTGTTTGTTTGTTTAAGTTTTCTTCAATAGTTTTCTTTAGTAATGTTTGAAAACATTGAGATTTTTTTCAACTGTTTTTAGTAACTTGATTATGCAGTTTTCTAGCCTGAACTTTGTACTGACCACATTGTATATCAATATGGAAAGACTGGACATGCCTGGACGCCATGCATTTCAGAAGTGTTGCAGATTTTTAGAAGGAAAGAATCATGGTGTGGAATTGGCAGAGGTGAGTCATGCTTCGATTTCATGATTGGAGGCTTGGGAGCATGTGACTGGGGAAGGCAGGATTGGAATGAGTTCCATCTGATTGCCAATATTTCCTTATGTCACTTGAGGTCTGTCCTGGGATTCTGGCTTTGGAAAGTGACTCAAGTGATTCCCTTTGTGCATTTGTCTGACTTCAAACTTTTGCTGCTTTAAAAAGCTGCTAGGACCTGTTGTAAATGATTGATTCCTGTTAAAACTGAATATATATATAATGTTAAAATATATATTAGTATATTAACATAACATTAATATAACATATTAATACAATATATTATAAAATATATATTATTCCTGTTGAAATTGAATATATATATAGGAAAATTTCAAACATCCTGAAGAAAAAATTCTAGAACAACGAAGCCCTCATGTACCTGTCACCTAGATTGAACTCAAAGCCCATCTTCATCCTACATTCCTTTCCTTTTCAATCATTTGAAGTAAATCTTTGGCTTCATATCACCTTACAAATATTTCAATATTTACTTCTAAATGATAAAGAAATAATTAAAAAAAATCTCATCTGAGTTGGGCATGGTGGCTCACACCTGTTACCTCAGCACTCTAGAGGCTGGGACAGGATTGTTGCAAGTCTGAAGACAGCCTGGGCTACTTAGTGAACTGTAGTCCAGCCTGAGCTACAGAATGAAATACTCCCCAAACAAGATGGAGACGGGGGACTCACCTGAAGTCTTGAGATCATAGGGCCACATATGTTTTGCTTCTGAAATACTGTGACTGAGGCTGCAGAGATGCCTCAGCAGCCAAGAGTGCCTGATGCTCTTCCAAGGACCGGTTGGTTCTCAGCACCCACATCAGGTGGCTCACAAGCACCTGTAACTCCAGTTCCAGGGCACCTCACTGCCCCTTCTGTTCGCCACGTACATCCACACACTCAACAGCCACACACACATACACAGAACTAAACATAAATCTTTAGAAGAACCTGTGTGGCCAGGTGTGGTGGCTCACACTTCTAATTCCAGCACTCAGGAGGCAGAGGCAGGTGGGTCTCTGTGTAGTCAAAGCCAGCTTGATCTACATAGTGGTTCTAGGACAGCCAGAACTACATAATGAGACTATGTCTCAAAACAAACAAAAATGAAAAAAAAAACCACAACAAAATAAAATAAAAATGAAATCCATGTGACAATCCAGGAGAAGTGGCATATACCCCATATATCCATGATCCTAGCACTTGGAAATCTGAGGCAGAAGGATGAAGGTTAAAAACCATCTTTGGCTATTTAAGAAGCTTGAAGCCAGCCTGATCTATGACTCTGTTTCAAAATTAAGTAAGGTGAATTAAAAGAAAACAAAAAACAACTTATGATGGCCAGCCAATCTTCTTTGTCAACCCGATTCAGAATCACCGAGAGATTCCCGAGGCACACATACCTCTGGCTGCATTTGTGAGGACATTTAAAGAAGATTAACTTAGATGGAAAGACTTAACTTGAATTTGGTGGCCGCATCCGTGTGCTCTGGGATTGGATGGAGTAATGGAGGGGGAAGGAAGGAAGAGGTGGGCTGAGTACCAGTCTCATCTCTCTGCCCTGTTTTGAAATGTGAGCAAGCAGCATGCTGCTGAGGATGTCCCACTGCAGACTGGTGCCCCCAGGCTGTAAGCCAACAAAATTCTTCCTCCTTCAGCCATCGTCTTACTGGGTATTTGGCCACAAAAACAATCACAAGCATGACTATGACAATACTAAACTGCACTGTCCTACTTTAGAAATCAGACTCCATTTTTTTTTTCCTGGAAGAAATTCTATTCTGTGGGGTTTTTTTTTCCAAATAAACTCACAGATAAATGGGAATATAGATTGTAGTTCTAACAGCCATGATGACGGTTGCTTTAAGAGAAATTAAAACATTCAGTTGTGTTTCCCACAAAATCATAAAACAACAAACTACTTATATCATATTATATTAAACTATTTATATTTATAGCAAGGAATGTTCAAGTAAGAGCAAGCACTGTCTCAGGAAGAGTGGCTAGCATCTATTTATGTTCTAGGAAATGCCACAGGAGTTTAGCAGCTTTGCAATCAGATGCCAGGTCTGTTTTCCCATCTCATCGAGGTGAACTTGAGCAAGTAATAAATATAGATCACATAAGATTAGGTAACATAAAATGTCCATGAGTATTCTAAAACATTAAATATTTCCAAAGGTTAGAAAACATGCAAATTTAGCAAAAGTTTTCCTTTCATTACTTTTCAGGAAGGTGGGGAACAACAGGAATTTTGCAAGCTGCCAGATGTTAATCAAAAACCTCTGTATGGAGAACATGCCATCCAGGTCAGGAGTCAATGTGGTCAGCTGTAGGCTCGTTACTTTTTACTCAGTACCAAGGGAGCTGCATGGTAGACCAGCCAGGTCTGCACCCCAGGCTTCCGGTGAGGTGATTTAGGAAGAGAGACCTGAAAAAATTCCAGGGCTAAAGGTGCCTTTGGTTCCTTTACAAGTATGATGGAATGCTGTGGGATGTCTTTCTGTATGCTGTGAATATGTGTGGATCCAATTGCCTAATAATAAAGTTGCCTATGGCAGGGCAGGATGGAGCCAGGCAGAAAATCCAAAAGAGACAGTGAGGGAAGAAAGGCAGGGTGAGAGACGCCCTCCTGCCGTCCAAGGAGCAACATGTAATGGGATGCAGGTAAAGCCACAGAACACGGGGTGATACATAGATTAATAGAAATGGGTTAAGTTATAAGAGCTAGCTAGCAAGAAGCTTGAGCCATAGGCCATACAGCTTGTAATTAATATTAAGCCTCTGGCTGGGCGATGGTGGCACACGCCTTTAATCCCAGCACTCGGGAGGCAGAGGCAGGCGGATCTCTGTGAGTTCGAGGCCAGCCTGGTCTACAAAGTGAGTTCCAGGAAAGGTGCAAAGCTACACAGAGAAACCCTGTCTTGAAAAACAAAAACAAAAAAAACCTTAAGCCTCTGAGTGATTATTTCATAAGCAGCTGTGGGACTGTGGGGCCAGGTGGGACCAGAGAAACTTCCGGCTACAATGGAAGACTGAGAGAGTGAGACACAAACACACTAGATTGTCTGGAAAATGATTGTAACACACTTAGCTACAGTCCCTGCCACGACTGTTTCATGAACCCGTGCCTCAGCCTGCCTGTTTGCTCCCTTCTCCTAGATGGGCCGTCCCAGCCTGCTTGGCTTCTCGCCCTCTCCCAGCCCTGTTATCCCAGCGCTAAATCTTTTGTGACAGTGCCAATGCCCTGGCTGACAATTCACAAGGCACCCAAGGGACTGCCAAGCCTCTGAGAAACAAGCATGAGCACTGGAAATGTCTTGGTCACCCCCTAATTTCCACGGGAATCTGCAAGATTAGACAGACAAGGAGATGGAGATAACCGAGCAACCTAAGATCAGAACCTTGCTCTGGTGGAATACACTGTAGATCACGCCAGTTCTGTGGGCATGTTGCCTTAGAATAACATGTTTACAAACTTCTTATTGAGGTATAATAAGAAAAACAGGATTTATATATTTAAAACCATTAAATAGTGTTAAATGGCCACAGCTGTATTACTAATTTCTGTGACCCAAAATAGTTAAAATTGTGAATTCACCTTCTAGAACATTCTCAGGCTGACCTGTGAAATTCTCATCTTCCTGCCTGTTCTTCTCACATGCTGAGATCACAGGTGTTGGTCACCACATGCCGTTTATTTGGCGTTTGGGATAGAATCCAGGTTTTTGTGCCTGCTCAGCAAGCAATCTACCAACAGAGCCATAGCCCCAGTCCGGTTCACATCCTCAGTTTTAAGTAGTATTGAATTTCACTGTGGTGTGCCATATTCTGAGTAATGCCTAAAGCAACGCATGGCATGGCATATTACATTGACCAGAGAATTTCATGACTTCTGAACAAGTTAGTAAGTTGAATTCAGGACAGAGTTCAATATACAGATGTGTGTGTGTGTGTGTGTGTGTGTGTGTGTGTGTGTGTGTGTGTGCAGCTTATGGCATTTTAAACTCTGTTAACTACAAAGAATAAAAAGATTGTGCAACAGAGTTGGAAGGGGAACAATTTCTGAGATAGAGATCAAATTGTGTTTATAGAACGCAGTATTGGCAGCTCTGCTATCAGCCATTTCCTGTGGGAATAGTCACTGGGAATATTTTTATGCCTTGACTGTTCATGAAGCAGCCTTGGGTTCCTGCAATAAAAATATACCAGCATTGTCAGTTCTAATGTATGAACATCATAGCATAACATTTCATATTAAGATTATTTTTAAAATTGTCTTTCCTAATGGCTACTGAAAGAATTTTAAAACAACACCAACACACTATGGTCTAGTGGAGAGTTGAGACTGCAACAGACTGGAAACTGAGGCTACTTGTTGTCTGTGACACCGCTGTTCGTCATGTACAGTGTTTAAGATGCTGTATTTACCACAGTGCAACAGGGGATAGCAGTTTCTGTCCTTAGGAAGCGGGTGAATTTTGAATTTTCTCATAAGGGAGACAAAACACACATAGAAATTATGTAAAACTGAGTAGCTACAACAATCTGTTTCAACAAATATGACAAAGGTGTGTGTGTGTGTGTGTGTGTGTGGTGTATGCTGGATAGTAATAAAGGACTATTGGAGTTTGGTAGAACTTGAGATCGTGTCCTGCTTGGCGTTGACTTCATGGCGAAGAAGGCAGGTGAAAATGAGGATGGGCAGGGCCCTCCTCCTCTTCCTCTTATATTCTTATGTTTTTGAGTGAGTGTGCCACAGCTAGTGTGGGGTTAGAAAACAATGGGCTCCCACCTTCCCGGGTGTGGGTCCTGTGGATATAACTCAAACTCAAATAATCAGCCTTGAAGGCAGGCACCTTTGCCTGCTGAAACATCTTGTCATTTCCTTTAGTTTTTTTTTGAGAGAGTCTCACTCAACAGTTCAGGCTGTCCTCCAAGTGTCCCGTCCTGCACCTCCTCCTCCCCAATGCTGAGATTACAAGCATGCATACCACCACACCACACCTAGGATGGTTAAGATTTCCACAAATACGGATGTAGGAGACATTATTCCAGGAGGCAGAGAGATAGGTGCTAACAAATGGAGTACAGATCTAAGCCAATTTAGATGATGGTGCAGAAAACACAACTTTTTGAGGACTTGAGACCCTACTAAGTGCAGGTATGTGCTAGATATTTGTGCATTATGAAAACTAAAGCGTATAGCTGAAATCAGGGATGATGGTAACACTGACTCGTATCATTGAAAGGTCAATTCGTGTGAGGGACTTGTATTTGGTATTCCTATACTGAACATGGGCCAAATTCCACCCTTTCTCTATTTCAATCCAGCTGTCTCTTAACACTGAATTGAGACGAAGAATTAGCGTTTTTACATTTAAAAGTTGTAAACTAGTGTTTTTTAATTCGGTAGTTGTACCCAGGACTCAGATCCCTGTGGCTCGATTTAACATGTTTTGTTTGATGTAGGGATTAGCGTTGGGTGAGCTCTCATCATTTTTTGCAGAAGGAAAAACAGATTTAAAGGAGAGGAAACCGAGGTCATTTAAGACATAAAGGATTTAAAAAAAACCTTATTAAAAAGGAATTGCTACAAACTTCCTTTTTCATTATTTATTTTTATGTACACGGTTATTTTGCCTGTGTCTACGGCTGTCTACAACACACATGCCTGGCGCCCGCTGAGGCCAGAAGAGGGCATCCAAACCCCTGGTCCTGGAGTTACTGACCGCTGTGAGCCACCAAGCTGGGAATCGAACCTGGGTCCTCTACACAAGCAGCCAGCGCTCTTAACAGCCGAGCCACCTCTCCAGGCTCGCCGATTCCTTTGCAACAGCTCGGGGGAGGGGACGGGAGGGAACTGATCGGAACATCTCTGGAACCTCGCTCCAGTGCGATACACCTGCACTCACACTCGATCCGTCCAAACAGTCTTTGTTAACTCTCAAGCTAGGACTTGCTGCACCGGAGCCACGCCTCACGCGGGGGGCAGCGGGGAGGGGCTGGGGAAGGTGGGAAGGTGGCGGCGGGGTGGCAGCCGGACCCGCTCCACCTTTCCCTCCCTGCAGCCCCGCTGGCCCCGCCCCCGGAGCGCCCACCTCGGGAACGCCGCGCAGCCGAGCG